TGAAGTACCTACCTAACTAATTTTATACGTGATTTTTTTTTATGTATTTCTCCTAATGTATTTGGTTTATGGCCGATGTAGCGAGTGGTTCTAGAACGTGCTAGGGTGTAGCCTGAGGTTTAGTTAAGTGTATCTCGAACGACTTCTAAGCTTTGGCAAAGTCTGCAACGTGCTAAACACTAGGTCAGCAGGCATTAAAATAACGAAGATAATCTTGTTCTTGCCACACATCGATTACGTCACCATTACGAAAACATACTACATACTTGCACATATCTTTCCAAACATATAAAAATATTTATCCGTTAAGAACTGATGACGTTTATATGTATTATAATATTATTAGACAGTTTTTGGAAAGAAATAAATAATTAAGTCTTTGAAATAATTATTATTCAAGTTTATGTTCAAAAAACAATTCTCTAAGACTAGGGAACATGCGGACATGAAAATACGGACATTAACTTTCTAATAGTTCTTAGTATAATAGTACTTAGGGTAAACTTAATCTGGTGATGCTATCTATAAAAGAGTAAATGCTGATGACAGATCGTATTCTATGTTAAGTAAACCCCATATTTCTTTCCTCATTCCATAATATAGAATTTTTAAATTCTTTTGAATTCATACTTAGTAATTTATCGAAACTGGCACTTTTGTGGACTTTTGTCAACACACGGTAGGTGGTTTCAATAAATTATTGATGAACTTAAACTAAACCTAAACACAAACTATTATACTTCGTTTACTTTCTCTAACAATGTGCCCCTACCTATGTCTTGGATGCGCGCTGGCAAAATCGTAGGTAGGAAGAAAAAAGCTCATTATGATTTCGACTCTTGTTCATTAAACATACTTATTCATACAGTACCTGCCAAATTATTGTTCAATTATAAACAGTAGTGTGTGTCGAAAACAAGCTTTAAAACCTTTAATATGTCTTCAAATATAAATAAACATCTCGTTGATATTTTCAGTAGTAATTGGTACCAATAACAGCACATTTGAGCAATGCAATTGTAGTGGTTAGAATGGTCAATTTTTCCGTGCAGTACTGTGCGGATTATACGCTCTTCTCCGGTTAAGAGTTTGGCCGAGAGTTGTCTCCTTCCTTTTCTGTCCTAGTGCTGTTCTTTTCTACATTGCGCCGGTCAATCTGAAGGTCACAACGCTATACCCAAAGTAAACGAAGTGTTCCTTATTCATGGTGCGTTCTATACTTATATAAGTACTTATATTAATTTTGTATCAACTCATCTTCAAAATATAATTCTTCATTGTAATGTACGTATCCAATCTCCAGATTTTTCCGTATTCAAATTCACGTGATAATCTTGCTGCTATAATTGCCAGACAAGCCGAGATAACTAGATTTACAGAACAAAGAATTGTTCAGGAGCATTCATTCGAACGCCAAATAAAGTAATTTTAGTTTATTTCTTTTCATACTGGTTACATTTTCATTTGCTAGCGATTCATCTTCTTGGAAATTACTTTTCGTTAGGTATTTCGATTATTATTAGTATCGCATCTACTTTAACAAACAAAATTAGCCGCTATAATAACTAAAATATCCTTCATTACTTATTAAAAGTTAATTATTTTAATATAATTTTAAGAACGAATAGTTCAGATACTATTGCAGTTCTTGTAAATATATTCCTTTGTAATAGATGGTAGTAATTCTTATTAATATTATGAGTAAAAGTTAAGATTTGGTAAGGGATGACTGAAACAGCTCAAAAACGACGCCTTTATATTCTATTTCATCCTTTTGTCAATCCATATTGACATAAGGTTATTGTAAGATGTACATATTGATTTATAAAAAACATTGGAAGTTGTGGGTTGCAGTTTCGAACTTATTAGTTCTCATCAGCACACCACCATAAATTATCGACCAATCTGAAGTTTCTCTATAAAAGCTAATTAGTACAATATCAAGTTGTTGCTAGCACCTATTTATCTCCATCTATTATCTTTCGTATGAGCACCTAACTATGGGAACTTGGGTTAAAACTTATTGAAACTACTTGATGTACATCACGATTTCAAACTCATTGGTTTTAATCAGTCCATTATGCATTCGTAGGTGCTAGATCTATAGATGAAGACTTAATATTATTGAATTTTGGTTGCATAGAGCAACTTCGGTTTAGTCAGTAATTGATCGGAGTAAAATGCAATTTTAACGTATCACTGGATTTTTAATAAAATTTCTTCACACACATGTTTCGGCTCCTCATACGTTAATCAGGAGTACAAAGGTGTATACTAAGACGTGAAATGCTTATAACAGTAGAATCGTTGCTGAAACCATTATTGGAAAAACCCAAGTAATAATTAACTATGGGGTTGTTTTAAATTGTACCTAACTGATCATATTTCGTGTTCACATTTTAAAACTGTTTTGAGTTCAGGTTCTATGAGATTTACTCTTTTACTTTTGTTTTTCATATTACGTAAAATCTCTGTTTTTATGTTAATCTAACGAATGCCTGTTTCTAAATAAAGCTTACTGATGCCTACTTTTGGTTTCTTATCAGTTATGTCTTTTTTGTATTCTTTAACTCTACGCAGAATTTGTAGATTTTATGAAAAATTAGGTAATGAAACATTAAAGTTGTTTTTATTCAATGTACGTTACCTTTATTATTACATACTGTGTTTCATAAAAACTAATTGTAAGGAATAGTTCAATCAATATTGGGATGTGCTGATGAGAACGAGAGTAAGATCTAAAACGCACTCCCAACAACCGGTGGTTTTGATAATTTTTTAACCAAGTTCTTTACCGAACTTTACTATTATTAATTGAATAATAATAAAGCTAACTATCATTTGAAATGTCAGTACCTAGTATATTCTGTAATATTGTACAGGTAAGGTCTCATGAGAAAAAATACATAATTTGGTAAACGAAATGTTATATTTTTTCAACCACGACAGTCGGAAGATTTCTCCTCTCAAAATCTTTTGAACACCCCTGACGAGCTTTAAATTACATTTTTTGGACTTATATTATTACCTTATTAGTTTTATAAAAGGGTGACTGAAGGCATTCGTACGAATTTTCTTGTACCACATCGTATTTTTCAAAGGAAGATAGGTACCGCTCTTTGATGATTTGGTTTTATGGTTTTATACATTATATACACAGTCGTTTTATCACCAAATTCGGCTATATTATTTCATCTTTGCCGTGCTTTCACTTTTGATAGGATTCGGTAGCAATATATTCTACATTAAACACTCGTTGATGAAAAGATAAAACGGAATTTTCATTTCACTTAAAAAGTCGCACGTCTCGTCAACCAAGTTTTCAGCGATAGCTAAGTTATTATCCGGTATTAATAAGTTTAAGAAAACCACTCACGTAGCGAATACATCCATAAACTTTTCAACTCGCAACTCTGTATCCTACCATTATTCAAAAACTTATAAAAACTAATTAAAAATTTTCATCAGGTATGGAATCCTTTATCGTTACGAATGCAACTTTCTCCTTAAGGATAACCGCATGAATAAATTAATTTCTTTCCCGCTAATGGTGAAGTCGTTAATAAAAAATGGACATGTTTTTCCTCTTTACAAGGCAGCGGGACCTACAAAAATTTTTATTCTTAGAATATTAATTTAATGGAGAAAATTCGACTCTTGTTCATTAAACATACTTTTTCATACAGTACCTGCCAAAAGTTTTGTTCAATCATGAATAGTAGTGTGTGTCGAAAACAAGCTTTAAAACCTTTAATATGTCTTCAAATATAAATAAACATCTCGTTGATATTTTCAGTAGTAAATGGTACCAATAACAGCACATTTGAGCAATGCAATTGTAGTGGANGCATTAGTGGAAGGTTTAAGGAGTAATGCCTTTAGGGTTAGTTTGTAATAGAATAAATCAATAGTTTATATATCCTAACTTACAAAATTTCAACATCAGTTGCAATGAGTACGCCAACGTAAACAAAACGGAATAGTAAATAAATGAAATAGTAATAATAAGACAATAAATTTTCTCCCTAATAACAGTCATCATCATAAGGGTTGTTTTTCCTAAGACACATTTTCCTATCCTTGGCTAATTCTCGTATTTTCATAAAACTATCTGTTACTATTTCTGAAGAGTAGTCTGACTAACCGTTTAAGATCGACTTTTTTACTTTTGTACCTCAGAAATTTCGGCGCTTATTAATATAATATGACCGGCTGTTACTAAAATAGAACACAATTGCGTAAAAACCTGGTGAAATTATTGAGCATTAAAATTAATTACTTTTTATAACGACAAAAAAATCAATAAAAAAAGTGTCTGCTAGCAAATTAAAGCTTCATTTGCAGATTTTTAAAAAATTATTACTGTATTTATTTCGATTAATAACCGAGGAAAGTGTTAACCATCGGAAGAGCAGCTTTTATATCTTGTAGAATTATACGCATTTATTTTAGGATATCCGATACTTTTTGAAAATCGCACCTATTACAGACTATACTAAAAAATAAGCATAAAAATTGTTGTCTTGTATTTCGTCAGTTTATCACTACATAGTATAAAACAAAGTCGCTTTCCCGCTGTCTGTCCCTAAGTATACTTAAATCTTTAAAACCACGCAACGGATTTTGATGCGTTTTTTTTTTAAACATAGAGTGGTTCAAGAGGAAGGTTTATATGTATAATACATGCATAATATAGTAGGGAAACACTGATAATTTTAGAGATTTCTAATGTGATGTCGTAAATAAACACATTTTTGCTGAAACCATTATTGGAAAAACCCAAGTAATAATTAACTATGGGGTTGTTTTNGGGGATATTGAAGGAAGATTTCCCTCGATAAATAATAATCTAAACAAAACAAAAATATATTTAGTATCAGCATTGCACCGTGCGAAGCTGGGGCGGGTCACTAGTAAGTAATAATTTTAGTTTATTTTACATTTAATGGTCCTTCCAAACAAAGTATTAACTGAGATTATTTCTGACAGTGTCAATTAAATTTGTCCTTTTTATTTGTCTATTTTACCAATTCATATTGACTAAAGGATGCATTTGTTATTATACATTATTTGTACACGTAATCATAATTGTCTTTTGGAGATTGGATTTCTTCTTGGGCCTCTGTCTTAAATAATTTACATGGATGTAGACCGTAAAGTGAAATTAGTCGAAGACAATACATTTAGTTTCATCGCAGCTGGCTAACAATTTTTCTGAAGGTAATGTCACGTATCAAAACATCCGTCAGTTTTGATTTCCCAATTAAAAATCGAATATCTATGTTTTATTTTTAAGACCAAGTAACTAAAAAAGGAAGCCACATTCGTAGTGGATTTTACCAAATTGATGACCAGCATGTCAGTAAGTGACAAGACCTGTGCATCTACCACACCAAAACCATCAACTGTATTCTTTGTATGGTATCCTGAACTGTGTAGACGTAAGAATATTAATCCTCTGATTAACGTTAAGGCACCCAAAGTAAAAAACGGTACAGTTTTGGACTTTGTGGGCGACAGATTGAAAATAGACGAATGGAAGCCGATTTTAAATGCCCTCTATTTGGACCAAAGCCTTCACGTCATAGTAATAAGAAGTCGTTTAAGTGGACGTGTATTTAATTTCGACATAGACACCGAAGATAAGCTCCGATCACTGAATAAAAGTGTCGGATGCTTATGGACCGACTATGTCATGCAAGCCATCATAAGCAGCGTATGTAATTGTTTACTTAAGTCGGAGGTTTTGACAACGTTAGAGTTGGATGGCTTACCTTTGTACACCAGCTACTTTTGTCGACTGGTAGAAGCGATTAGAAGGAACCGATATTTGAAGGTGTTATCTTTAAAACGGGCACCGATAAAAGACCTCGGATGTGAAGAATTGTGCACCAGTTTGCAGTATCTTCCCCACATAGAAGTTTTAATTTTGTGCGACTGTGACCTTACACACCTCAGTGGTCAACATATTGGTAAATTAATCAAGTATCAAAAACTGAATCGATACTGCGTGACGTGGAACAACTCGCTGCGATATGCCGACCCTCCAGTCGAAAAAATTGCTGGACTTCGAAGAATTACATTAAATAATAACCCGTTGATCGGAAACGAAGGTTTAGAAGCAATTCTTCACGAACTCGGAGATGATTTGTGGATTAAAGCTATCGACATGCAGAACTGTGGAATAACAGAAGATATGGCGGACAGACTGATCGAGACATTACACTACAACAAAACATTGGATATTGCAGATTTCAGAAGAAATGATTTAAGTTTCAATACGCTCAACAAAATTTTCGACATGTTGCGAGAAAGGTTAGATCTAGAGGGCGAATATCACTGGTGTTTGACCTCTACGACGCTGGATCAAACCGACGCAGCGAGCACTTGCTGTCCAACATCAGCGAACATATTTCACAAATCTCAGTCTGCACCTCTTCATAACTTTAATCCAGCGTTAAGAAGTACAACGAATCTTCGTAAGGCAAAAACATCGTCCGATTTACATAAACAAATGAAGCCGATTTTGCCAAAGCATTCCCAGCCTCGAGTTGGATTTGCGGATCTCCATAAACAGGTAACGGTGCTGAGTAACCGTCTTAAAGAAGAAATTCGGAAGAGAATTGAAGCAGAGAATGCAAATAAAAATCTGCAAAAGAAACTAGAAAAATTTCAAAAACTCAACGTGTCTCAAACAAAACAGAAGCCTCAGACCATGAAAAAGATCGGGAAGCTAATGGAAATGTTGGAGAATTTAGGGATAAACGTTGAAAATGAAGACAACGAAACACTCGCAAATATAAATAAAATTTTAAAAGAAAAACGTTTGAACATCAAAACGATAGTGATGGACCACATTAAACAAAGTGAGGGTAACCGTAATGGCTTTCAACGACGAATTTCAAATGAGCATGCACGTAACAGTGATACTTCTAATAAAATAAAAACCTGCAGCCAACCTCAAGCACCAGTAATAAGCGATGGAGTTATTAGCGGAGCGACAACGGCAACTAGTGAGGCTCCTCAAAGTATTTTAGAAAAGTTTCTATACACAACGGATTCGGACAGAGAAGACTCGGAAAAAGAAGATGGCAGTGATATTCTAGAGTCGTATTACAACCTAAATGAGAATTTCAACAATCGTGTTAAACAGAAGAAAAAGCTCCGGTCGGCGAGAGATAGAACCGGTAGCACAACTTCCATTCGGAAACTTTTGAAAGGACTCGAAGACGACACTAAGATTCCAATTTCACCTGCACCAAGTTTATCATCCGATGATGACCGTTCTTCCATTAAAACGGTAGTTGACAGAAAAACCAAAGTAGAAAAATTATACCAGAAAGTGCCACTGAAAGTGAAGTAAACAGAAAATTATGTACTTACTGGTGGCTTATAAGACATTTCTAGTTTTTAAGGTTGTAGGTGAAATGAAACAATTAATTCCGAACATACAATTTGTTCTGCTTCCTTTTTGAAACAAAGTCTTCAGATATAGTGTGTAATGAAACCTTAGAGGTAGAGGCTCTTATAGAAATGATTTTATTTTTTATAAAGAACGCTTTTTTCAACTGAAATTCTTCATAACTACATGCCGATGATCGTAAAATTATTACTCCTTTATACTCTATTTTAATAATAAACAAAAATATTATCTGTCTCCATTAAATTATTTTATATCGTAGTTTGGATATCTATTTCCCGATAGTATCTTCATCCAGAAATTATAAAATTAAAAGTGAATAGATACGCAAAGAAAAGTTAGTTCAAACATGCTAAGAAAAGATATAAGTAAATAACCTTTTTTGAAGTTACCGTTTCTTTACTTCTTACAAATAACCGGCTAACGATAAGTATGAGCGCTATGTGGTTATACTTTTCAATACTTCCTATATCCTATAAACAAAAAAAAAACAAATACATTTGCATTTGCAATATTGATTAGAATTTTTAACAAATTCAAATAGGTTTATGGCAGATAATCTGATATATTTTAACATTAGATACTACGAAAGAAAATTTGAATAGTCTCGATTATAGAGTAATAAGGAATCTTATCTATCGATATACTCAATAAAAATTCGGTAGTACGCATTTGCATAGGTCACAAGAACATATACCATGTATCAAATAAACGGTTTCGACCTTCTACTATCGATGACACGGCTACGCGTGATGCATCATAAAAATTCTTGGATTTTTGTTCGAAAAAGTTCGAATTCTTGCAAATTTTTTATTTCGAACATGTTTATTATGAAAAAATTGATTCAGCTTTTCACCATGTACATAAACCCCTACAACTGACGACATGATACAATTAACGCTTTTAGGAAGTATTAAAAATAAAACAAGGCGAAATTTCATAAATGATCTCTTAAATTATACAATTCTACAACTACCACGATAAAATAACTTCAAATCTCTAGTTCGTATCCGGTTTCGACTCTTAAGGGCTCGTTATAGCTCACCCCGAAGAATTGATAGTTTTCTCTGCATTTTAGACTTTAAATTCAATTGAAATATGGAATTAAAGTGTTGCCTGTTATCAAAGCGAAGAAGATCCGTAGTACGAGATATTTGAACATCGTCAGGTAGCTTATCAAACCGGTATGGAAAACTAGCTTTGACTGAAGTATCAATGTCATGAATTATTCAAGAGGTGTTCTTAGTTACTTCAAACGACATTGCCGTCTGCGAATTCAATACAGACGAATATGTAAATTAATAAATCTTGCACACAGGTCTCAGAAGACGTTGTTGAATCTGCATATAGATGACCACGAAGAACCAAAGCTTTTAGGGTAGGACGTGCAAATCGGTATTTCGATCAGATACTTATATCAAAAATACTGATAGATACACGTAACACCACAAAAGAATCAATCTATTTGCATTACAAAGTGCATATAGTAAAAGAGCCAATCGTAACTTTCAAATTTGGCCAATGAGACAATTTTTTATCATTGTAGTTAAATTTTGGGCGAAATTTTCACGGAAATAAAATACGTAAATATATTTTCAGTGTTTTTAGAGTTTATTAAAAGCTTTTTTGGTAGTAGGTACAATCTAATTTTACGTAGCTTTATTCTAAGAAGTACTACAATTCATACGTTTATTCGCTTTCTCTATGTTGTTGACTTATGAAGCAATCATGCAGTAGTCCATGAAGTAAATATGTTAATATCAACGTCATGCTTAAGCAGAAAGGTGGAAGAAACAGTTTATTGTCTAAATCCATCATGTTACAAATCTAAACGTTTACTGACTTAATAAATGAAACCAAGATGACACGTGTGCTTTCGTATTATGTCTGACAACGGTTTGCAATGTAAATTAAATTGTATTAGTGTTATGTATTAATGGGAAATAAATGGAAAATTATTTTATCTCAAAAGGATCATACATCGAATTCCATATGAGGTTTCTTAAATACAAAAGTTATAAAGATTTTGTAGAGAGTTTCGGAAATGTTTAAGTTGTTGTGAACTGCTTGCAATTTGAGATCGAAATAAACTTTCTACCAGATCTTAAAGCGAAATCTGTAAAAGAACATCTACTAGGGATACGGGCCGTCTCAGATAAGCAAAGGAAAGCGGCATTTTCGTAAAATTACAGCCGATTGATGAACAAACTGTTTCAAGTCACGTCCCTGTAATGTGATAAACCAGGGCAAAGCAAGTCTGCGCGAGGCAAGCTGGAATGAAGACGCAATCATTTGTTTCAATCAACATATTAATCGGATTTGATCCTGCAATGTTCCACGTTTTACCCTCCATTACTTTCAAATTACCTTCTTGATTAACATGGAGCAAACACTATTAAATGTTCGATACTGACAGAGCGGTATCTTAATAAAATTTATATTGCACCTTTGGCCTCGCGGACGAAGTCGTTGTCACTTTAATAAAAGTTCGATTGAAACAAAGATTAAATGTTAGAATTAAATACCTTCTACCTTCTACAGAGGAGAATTTGTTTGAAAACATTATCGATTAATATATTATATTTTAAGTTCTTATGTGCTAAAATTGTTAGGTATTATACGATATTTTCTTGGCATTGTAAATTTATTAAATTATCAAATCTTAAGTGTCGCTCAGTTCTTATACTCAGTCGTTCCACTGTAGCTTGTATCCTTCATCCCAATTTCTAACTGATAGTGAATTAATATTCGGATTTCAAATACAGATTAAAAAAAAATATTTCATTCTCATTTTTTCGATAATACAGTCGGATCTCTTTAAGTCGAACCTCGATAAATTCAAACCTCCAAATCTCGAAAAAATGGTTTGTCTCCTTCAAGTCCCAATACGTCCATTACTCGACATCTCAACCCTCTATTAATCGAAATAATCTTGAGTCCCTTCAAGCCATTTTGGTACATATATGGACTTCTGTACCTCGAACGTAGCAATGCTTTATTTTACAACCTTTACAAATCGATAATTTGAAACTTATTACGTCTATGGTTCGAACAAAACTAAGTCATCGACTTTAAGCATTTTCCGACAATGTAAATAGGTATCCAGGAAGTCAGACAAGTCAGGACGAAAGGAGTAGTAGGGATATAAAGCAGAGGATAGCGCACGGTCGAGTCGCCCTCAATAAAAGAAGTGATTTCTACGCTCGCGAACGGTTAATTTAGAAATTCGAAAAAGGTTGTTAAAGGTATACGTTTGGAGCGCGGCGCCATACGGGTGCGAAACATGAACAGTGAGTACGGGGGAAAAGAAAATGTTAGAAACGTTCGAAATGTGATGTTACAGGCGAATGATGAGGATACCGTGGATAGAGAAGGTTAGACATGAAGAGGTATTAGAATGAATAGGAGAACAGAGGACTCAATGAAAAATAAGCGAGATAGGTTGGTAGGACACCTTCTCAGGCATGAAGGTCTAGTCAGAGACATATTAGAGACCGGAGTTAAGAGGAGTAGAGGTAGACCTAGATTAGATTACTGTTCGCAAATAGTTAAGCATGTGGGTTGTTCTAGTTTCAGGGAAATGCGAAGATTAGCTCAGGATAGGAATGAGTAGAGGTGCGTGTCCAACCAGTCTTAGGACTGACGACCTTATGATAATAAACTATTAAAAAGGGCTCCAAAAATTTTCGGAAATCTAAAACATTAGATGATTCGACGTATTTGGCATTAAAAAAAAGGAAATGTAATTTCATGTTAACGGTGACGTTTAGCTTCTTGAAGGCTGAACAAATTGAATTTATTTAGGAAAACGAACAAGAAAAAAAGCGAACGAAGAAGGTTGCTAACTCGATAACGCCTAATATTTTAACAAAATTCTATTTTGTTCCGGTCTGTCAAATACAAAGAGGATAAAGGAGGCACGTTCTTCGCGTGTGTGTGTAATAGGCGCGAAAGTAAATTTCACGTCAGACATGGCTATTGCATTATTTTTATTTGGCCTGTGCTGAGTCTCTGCCATAAAACAGTGTGAGTTATTTACAACGAAGCAGACACCGTCGACCTTAGAGCATGCCTTTCCCTCTGGGAATAGTTATTTGCAGACCAATGTCAGGTGGAGTCCTTCAGTCATTTATTTCTTTCATACACTTACGCCTTTTACGATTCTCCCATAAGTCGACTTCACTTGTTTGACTCCTTATTACTTTGTTCTTTCCCCATTCGTTTTACCTTCTCGTACAAAACCGCGTATCTACGTATGTATATGTGCGATATTTCTAAACTTCTGTCTTATACTTACGGTTGGACATTCGTAATGCTGGCGCTGTTAGTTTCAAAGTAACACCCCAAAATTCTCCTTTTTAGGGCTTCTAATCATTTGTACTCAACCCTGTTTAGAAAACATGATGCATTTTTTGGATCTTATTCATTCGTAGTGTATCGAAGGAACGAATTTTATGTTATATTTATTTAGCAATATTATTCCCTAGACAAAAATTTTCAGTCTTTCTCCAGTCTCTCAGAATTTTTCAGAGTCTTTCAGCGTCTTTAAGAGCGTCTCTCACAGTCTCTCAGTTATTGCCTAGGTGTTTTTCTGGATCTCTCACAGTCTCTGTATGAGAGACTCGAACGATAAAATCGTCAATTCAGAGATTCGAGTCTCTCACAGAGAGACTGAATGAATATAACTGAAAAATTGAGAATCTCGAGTCTCTCGTAGAAAGACTGGGATCTCTGAAATACGTTGAACTTAGAAAATTTTAACCATGTCTATCGAGACACCACTTATTGAGAGATTCGAGTCTCTTGTTCAGAGATTCGAGTCTCTCGTTCAGAGATTCGAATCTCTCGTCAGAGACTGGATACGAAATGAGGATCTCTCTATGAGCGACTCGAGTCTCTCGTTCAGAGACGCTGAACAGTTTTTTTTACAGTCTCTCGACAGTCTCTCACAGCGACACCAGAGATACTCGATGAGAGACGGAGACTCGAGGCTCGCTTTCAGAGACTCCGAGAGACTGAACATTTTTATCTAGGGTTACTCCACCATGTCACAATAAAGCGAATTTATCTGCTTAATTTATTTGGCATATAATCACTTTAATATTATATTAATTACTACCATATTGATAAAGAAAAAAAGCTATACATGTTTTTAACCACCAATAAATAAAATAATATTTTTATTTGATTAATTAAAACGCTAATTTATTGGAATTCTTTTTTTGTTGCTACATATTTCTCATATTATTTAACGAGGGCGTTATACGTTGATTTGACTTTTTAGTTCCAAAAATCGATCAATTTTGCTATTGGCTTGTATATTTCTTAAATATATTTTATAATCATAAAGATTGGAGGTAGCCTTAATACAAGATTTATTTTCGTTTCGAACTGCCCTATGGTTATTTAAAGGATTAATATGTTAACAATTTTTGGT